GGTTCATCGCCTTTTTATACAAATTCATCACGTGCAATTTTACGAACACCTGGAAAAGCTTTTGGGTGACTTTTAACCACTGCACGTGCATCATTATGGCCAACTCTCTGCGTTTTGGAGATTGATTTTCTAGTTCCTTGACAGCTGTTTTAAGCCTTATATCATTTTGCTCACTTTGATAGTTTGGGGGAAAAAAATGAATACTTTCATTTGCCAATGAGTTTATATTTTCTTGTCTTCTTGTTGGTAACTAAAGGTGGATAAAAAGATGGTGGCGATGTTGTCAGTGCCAGTATCACTGGATCCAGAACTTTATCAGCTAGATTACCAAATAACTCTTCCATTTTTACAGCAGAATCAAAGGCGAGTTGGACGGCTGTAGAATATATCAATAAGCATGCCATTACATTTTCTCTCTGTCCTGTCTTCATGCTATTAAAAATAATTCATGTAAGCATCAAAATGTACTTGACATCATTGATGCAGCACTTCTAATCCCATATAGTGACTTCAAACCTGTTATTAGTTGTTACATTAGAGTTCTAATGCAAAAGAAGTGGGACACAAGCAAGTATTGAAAATCTTCATGAGATTAAACCAACTACCAATCAAATGTCTTGAAAGGTGAGGATCCTCCATTCTGTATCCCTTGTGATTATATCCCAGTCAAGCATATTTTGCTTGATTGTGCAGATTTGTCTCTCACAAGGGACATTTATTTCTATTTAACTTCTTCGAATGATCTTTTTAATAATGTCAGTGCTCATGTAATTCTTGTTTTTTTAAAGAGAAATATAATTACTTGATAAATTTTGAATAGTTGATATGGGTTGTACAATATTATCATTTATTGAGATTACAGAGGCTGGTGCCATTTTTCTGGGTTAGTGTTGTGCGAAAGTATTGTAATGCTGCCAGTGGCAAGTAATTGCATTCTTGATCAATGTATGTAATAACGACTAGTGTTTTAGAACTTTGATTGTTACGTGTTTTTTAATATTTGCATAACATATAGCCTCTGGTGACCAGAGTGATGACATAAATCCTACCTGGGATACATGCAGGGTGCGCAGTTCCTGCAAATAAGGTGGTTCACCTTTGGTTACTGGTGGCCTATTGCCTGGTTTTAATTGAAAAGACTTAATCTTTTGTACATGTGTTTACTGTTGATGAGATTTGTTTCATTTTAAAACTATGATATACCTCACTATGCTACTGTGCTTTGTCAACAGATTGCTCATTGCTATGACTGCAATATAAAAAAAAGTTGATAATGCCTTTATTATCCATTCAATTACTCTTAAGTTACATATTACAAAATTATCAACATGAAAGACTTCAGAAAAAGAGTACCATAGTTAATATTATTGCTTATTACTCAGGAATTTGAGTCGAGTTTATGGTGACACACGACATTTGCTTATGACATGTATGAGTACGTACCTTAGGATTGCATGTGTCTTTTATACACTACATCTAGTCTTTATTTATTGTTAAGTATGTTTCTTACAGTTACAGATTCACGTAATTGGACTATGGTAGTTATATTTAGAATGCAAGGGCAGTAACTCGCACCACACATCTCATCTGCGCATTGCGATGCGCATGTTCCTCAGTGGTTTGTTCACAATCGCCATTGTTCTGTTTACATCGTACGCTACGTAAATGGATCTGACACAGTCACTACGTCAGTTTCGTTGCTGTTAGTCGGCTGAAACGATCTTTTCATGTCATAGATCATTTTCACCGAATGATCGTCATGGCTACTCGCAGTTCGAAGAGACATCGAGGTAGAACTAGTTTATCGTTGCATGCGACGGATGACATAGAGATCCAACATGGCGGCCCTGCTTCTTCTGACCACGAGAATCAAGCATCAATCGACAGCGCGCAATCTTTGGATGCAGAGACTTTCTGTGTGAGGTATCGCCATGAAATTACGGGGATTTACGACGGAGATCACAGGAACTGGTATGTGTCCCAGCTGAGAGCATGAATTGCCAGGGACATCGGTATACAACATCTTCCCCCGAGTCTCACCAAAGCACAACTTCTGGCATTCTATTTACGCAACCGCCCATCAGAGTCATCACGTGGACAGTCAGGAGAGCCTCCTCCAGTGCCACCATTACCTCAGCTGACCATAATGTGCCCAACTCGCCTGTGTCTGACATTTAAGGCTTAACCATGACAGTTAATCAACTGGTTGCATCAGTAGCTGCACTAGCAGAGAAGGTTAATTCAACAGCCAATAACATTGCCAATCACACTGTGTCTTCAGATACCATGGACGGTCAGTTTTCTCTGCAGACTGCCTTACATCAGGGTATGAAACTCCCAAAATTTTCAGCCAGACCACAGGACTGGCTAGCTGAAATACTTGCCAGCCCTGACCAAAACCTGCCTGCCCTCTATAATCATATGTTTCTCAGGATAATTTAATTAAAACTTTAAATCGAATTCATTGAACATGAAGTAATGCAAGAAAAGAAATAGCAAACACTTTTTAGGTCAGATTTGTATTTAATATCCTAGAATACATCATGTAAATAATGCTTATCATAGGGAAATATTTAGAATATTTTTACATACCCCGGTATGAAATATAACCTGACCGTCGGGCAGGGGGATTTGAAAATCTGGCAGCCCGAGTTGAAATCAACCCGTCTCGGACGGTCGGGCAGGCAGGTATTTCGAACACTGCTTACATGACGGACTTCAACATGGTCATGGGCCACCAGGCTTCTCCACCACACGTCCCTTCACCCTCGATACTGTTTATGACAATACAGCCTCAAGCACTACCCATCACGTTACAGGTAATTTTGGCTTAGACCCTAATTCCCTTCCCCGTGTAGATACAGTGTCTGCCAGTTGACGTCAGCACATAGTGGAAGGTAGAGATGTCAACATAGCACTGCTACTAGTTCCAGATGATATACCCACTTACCCTCGTACCATTGAACTGGGGAATGGTGAATTACGACTTAAACCAGCCGGAGATCCCAGACTACAGAAAACCCTCAGTCTCAAACACTTCATTACTACTTTCAATCGCTACAAGAGAATTATGTTGACCCAATGGCCTAAGAGAAGTGTAGAATTGGACAGATATCTTGATTTTTTTTTTAGCCTTAGCAACGAAGGCGACGAAAGTGCTTTCTACACCTACCATAGGATGTTTTCAGCCAAAGCCGCTTCAGCTTTTGTGCAGTACAATGTCAAAGTAGATTGGATCAAGTTGGATCAAGAGTTATACCTAAGAATTTTCAATTCTGACAAGGCTAATAGGTGTCAACACTGTCATGAAATCAACCACCCCACAGTCTTTTGCCCTTAAGCCAACCACCAGGCTAGTGCCAACAGACGAGATAAGAATCTCCCACATATGTCCAATCATAGCCAAGCCCGACCTCGAAACCAAGATGCTCAAGGTCGTCAAATTGTGTTTCATGAAGGACGTCCAGTGTGCAATAATTTCAACTATGAGTCGTGTGTACGTCCTAACTGTAGATTTGCTCATGTCTGTGCTGGATGTCAGAAGAATCATGTCAATCAAGAAGTGTTCCAAGACATCAGACAAATCAACACATTCCAAGTGACTACCCCTCAATGCAGTCATATCTCCAATTAAGGTAGACATTTTACAGCAACAACTGGAAAACCATCCTGATAAAGATTTCGTGCAAGAACTGGTTTCGGGGATATCGGATGGGTATTTTACAGGCATAGATCACCCCCCTATGAGTGCAAGAATTTGTTATCCACCAGCTGTCGACACTCTTCTGCAACAGGAACGAGACAGGGGCTATCTCATTGGTCCGTTTGATATATCACCTTTCCCTATTCACCGTATAAACCCCATTGGACTGGTCGAAGGAAAGTATTCCAAAAAGCAGAGACTGATTGTGGATATGTCGGCTCCTCACGACAATTGTGTGAACCGCAGCCTCAATTCCTTGATCGACAAGGACAAGTATTCCTTGTCATATGTGACAGTGGATGATGCCATCAATGTCATCAAACAACTTGGGCCAGGATCTGTTATGTGTAAAACTGACATCACTGATGCTTTTAAACTTATACCTATCCACCCTCACGTGTGGCATCTTCACGGTATCAAATGGCGCCAACAGTTTTATTACTTCACTAGACTAGTGTTTGGATGTAGGTCCAGTCCTAACATATTTGATCAGTTGTCTATAGCCATATGCTGGATAGCCCAAAACTGTTAACAGATACCGCTCATTCTTTATCTGTTGGATGACTTCATATGTTTTGCCAAAGACCATTCTACTGGACAGACTATTATGAACAATCTGCTTACTATGTTTCATGGACATTCCCTTATCTAAAGCTAAGACAGCTGGTCCTTCGGATTGCCTAGAATATCTTGGCATCACCCTAGATTCTACTCGGATGGAGGCCCGTCTGCCTACGGAGAAAGTACAGAGAATTGTCACTTTGATCGACCATTTAATCAAGAAAATCCATGTGACTACGAGGGATCTCTTAGTGATTCTGGGACACATGAACTTTGCCATGCGCATCATTAGACCAGGCAGAAGTTTTATTGGATATCTATTAGGATATCATTGTGCATCTCTCAGCTGACTGCCTGCTGGATTTCCAAATGTGGCGCTACTTTCTAACAATTTGGAATGGTGTCTCCATGTTTATTACAGACACTATCAACTCACCTGATTTTCAGTTGTACACAGACGCTGCAGCATCTCTTGGATATGGTGGTTTCTTCCAAGGCAGATGGTTTTCATCCACCTGGTCCACAGAACTGATTAGTTTGGCAGGAGAAAACTTGTCAATAGCACTCATGGAGTTATTTCCCATTGTGACAGCTGCCCATTTATGGGGACTCATGTGGTCTAATAAGTGTGTGTGTTTCCACTGTGACAACCAGGCCACTGTTGCTATCATCAACAAAGGCAGATCACCTATCCCTCTTATCATGCATTTTATGAGACAATTAACTTAAGATGCTATTCAATGGAATTATGTGTTTTGTGCTAAACATGTTCCTGGTGTGGATAATGCTATAAGCGATGCTCTCTCACGATTGCAGATAGCCAGATTTCGTCACCTAGCACCAGATGCAGAGTGTCACCCAACCCCTTGTCCTCAGCTGACAGACCTGATGTACCCGTAACCCATGGCGGAACTATCGAGACAGACATGGAACTTTTGTGGTTATCAGCTGTGTCTACCAGAACATATCAGGTCTACCAATCAGGAGTTAACGCATTTCTGACTTTCATGACTATGCAGGGGTTCGTGTGGACAACTACTTTACCTCCTATCTCGGAAGACATTCTCATTAGATTTGTGGCACACTGTTATCGTAGATTGTTGCTGCAATATTCTACCATTAAATCATACCTGTGTGGCATTCGGATTAGGTATTTACAAGTGGGTTTACCTAACCCTTGGACATCCGGTTCTTTAATTCGGTTGCAAACTATTGCGCAGGGGGTTAAGAGACATCAAGGGCTGTCCACATCACCTCGCTTGCCAATAACAACTCCTATCTTAACTAAGATGTGTATGGCTCTAAATCATGGTGTTTTTGATCCCTACACCTGTGTACTACTGAAAGCAGTGTGTTGTCTGGCTTTCTTCGGATTTCTCCGTTGCGGAGAATTTGCTTGTGACACTGACAACTTTAATCCAGTTTACAATCTTACCCTTAGAGCTGGGCAATTCTCCAGGATCTCGGCTACATTCACCTTGCTGTTGGCAGCGTCCAAGACAGATCCATTCCGGAAAGGAGTCACCATCACCTATACAGCCACGGGCAATTGTGTATGCCCTGTAGCTAGTATGCAAGCCTACCTCGTTCATCGCCATCGCTATGCTTTGCATAATACTGATCCTTTATTTGTGACTGTAGATGGCAAGGTATTAGGCAGGACATATATCATCGTGCAACTTAAGAAACTATTAAGACTGTGTGGTTATGATGACAATGCCTATAATGGTCATTCCTTTCGAATAGGAGCCGCTACATCAGCAGCCAGTGCTAAAGTACCAGATCACCTCATACAAGTCCTTGCTCGGTGGTCATCTTCTTGTTACACCAGATATATACGTACACCTCAAGATGTTTTGTGGCGTGCTCAAAAAGATATGGCTTATCTTTGTTAACATGTGGCTATAATACCCTTCTCCACATCGCCCAGTGTATATATTCATGTTAGAATTTATCTGTAAAACCTTTTCTTCAAGTGTAATGTATTTTCATGATTATATAGCATATTTCTTGATTCCGATACACATGGTAGTTCACTACATATTCTTATGATTTGTTGTTTGTTTCTCTTGATACAGGTTAGAAGATAATTACCACCTTGGTTATAGGGCATACATTTGTTATGTCCTTGTATGACTATGACCAGTTTAAATTCTGTGTATTTATTTTTGGGGGATTCTCATTTAAAAAAAGTTAAATATAGGCATATTTCTTAATTCTTTCATGTTCATTTGGCAGAGTATCCGCCTGTAGTTGCGGATATTCATGGCCCCAAAAATATTAGTATTTTCACCACTAGGCCTGGTCATCTAAGCGCTTGAGACTGCAGGGCGTTTCCCCTCAGGATGGGGTCGAGTGGTTTGCTGTATTTACATAAGTAATGGGAATCCCCCAGCCCAAATGAATAAATCATTATTATTTGTATGTTTGCTGTTCTCTTGTGTGTCAGTATAAATTATTACTCAGGAATTTGAGTCGAGTTTAAAGTGACACACAACATTTGCTTATGACATGTACAATGTATGAGTACGTACCTTAGGATTGCATGTGTCTTTTATACACTACATCTAGTCTTTATTTATTGTTAAGTATGTTTCTTACAGTTACAGATTCACGTAATTGGACTATGGTAGTTATATTTAGAATGCAAGGGCAGTAACTCGCACCGCACATCTCATCTGCGCATTGCGATGCTCATGTTCCTGAGTTGTTTTGTTCACAATCGCCATTGTTCTGTTGACACCCACCTCTGTGGTAATCAGATCTAGTCTACTTGGTATAACAATTGATAAACATGCATGTATAATGCTTTATACTGGGGATTCCCATTCTTGTGTGAATATTTTATCAGATTTAATAATACATCTCATCAATTACTTAATTACTCTGTCAATCTACTTATATCCATTAACATTTCATTCCATGTGAGTTGTTCTTATTATCTAATATTTGTCATGCTAACCTCTCTTGCCCAGCGCTTGGGTCCTAAATTCCACTGTTGAAGGCGTTTCCCTCCGTAGTTATGTATTTTCGGAAATCACTATTGAATGCGTTTTCCCTTCGCAGCTTTAATATGTAATCTACTGTTGAATGCGTTTCCCTTCACAGCTATGTTATCTGTAGTCCACTGTTGAAGGCGTTTCCCTTTGCAGCTATGTTATCTGTAATCCACTGTTGAAGGCGTTTCCCTTCACAGCTTTTATCTGTAATCCACTGTTGAAGGCGTTTCCCTTCGCAGCTATGTAATCTGTAATCCACTGTTGAAGGCGTTTCCTTTCACAGCTATAATCTGTAATCCACTGTTGAAGGCGTTTCCCTTCACAGCTATGTAATCTGTAATCCATTGATGAAGGCGTTTCCCTTCGCAGCTATGTAATCTGTAATCCACTGTTGAAGGCGTTTCCTTTCACAGCTATAATCTGTAATCCATTGTTGAAGGTGTTTCCCTTCCCAGCTATAATCTGTTATCCACTGTTGAAGGCGTTTCCCTTTGTAGCTATGTAATCTGTAATCAACTGTTGAAGGCGTTTCCCTTCCAAGCTATGTAATCAGTAATCCATTGTTGAAGGCGTTTCACTTCCCAGCTATAATCTGTAATCCACTATTGAAGGCGTTTCCCTTCACAGCTATGTAATCTGTAATCAATTGTTGAAGGCGTTTCCCTTCACAGCTATGTAATCTGTAATCTTCTATTGAAGGTGTTTCCCTTCACAGCTATGTCATTTGTAATCCATTGTTGAAGGCATTTCGATTCGCAGCTATGTTATCTGTAATCCACTGTTGAAGGTGTTTCCCTTCCCAGCTATAATCTGTTATCCACTGTTAAAGGTGTTTCCCTTCGCAGCTATGTAATCTGTAATCCATTGTTGAAGGCGTTTCCCTTCCCATCTTTAATCTGTAATTCATTGTTGAAGGCGTTTCCTTTCGCAGCTATGTAATCTGTAATCAATTGTTTAAGGCATTTCCTTCACAGCTATGTGATCTGTAATCCACTGTTGAAGGTGTTTCCCTTCACAGCTATAATCTGTTATCCACTGTTGAAGGCGTTTCCCTTTGCAGCTATGTAATCTGTAATTCACTGTTGAAGGCATTTCCCTTCACAGCTATGTAATCTGTAATCAATTGTTTAAGGCATTTCCTTCACAGCTATGTAATCTGTAATCCACTGTTGAAGGTGTTTCCCTTCACAGCTATAATCTGTTATCCACTGTTGAAGGCGTTTCCCTTTGCAGCTATGTAATCTGTAATTCACTGTTGAAGGCATTTCCCTTCACAGCTATAATCTGTAATTCATTGTTGAAGGCGTTTCCTTTCGCAGCTATGTAATCTGTAATCAATTGTTTAAGGCATTTCCCTTCACAGCTATGTAATCTGTAATCCACTGTTGAAGGTGTTTCCCTTCACAGCTATAATCTGTTATCCACTGTTGAAGGCGTTTCCCTTTGCAGCTATGTAATCTGTAATTCACTGTTGAAGGCATTTCCCTTCACAGCTATAATCTGTTATCCACTGTTGAAGGCGTTTTCCCTTCGCAGCTATGTAATCTGTAATCCATTGTTGAAGGCGTTTCCTTTTGCAGCTATGTAATCTGTAATCTTCTATTGAAGGTGTTTCCCTTCACAGCTATGTCATTTGTAATCCATTGTTGAAGGCGTTTCGATTCGCAGCTATGTTATCTGTAATCCACTGTTGAAGGTGTTTCCCTTCCCAGCTATAATCTGTTATCCACTGTTAAAGGTGTTTCCCTTCGCAGCTGTGTTATCTGTAATCCATTGTTGAAGGTGTTTCCCTTCCCATCTTTAATCTGTTATCCACTGTTAAAGGTGTTTCCCTTCCCAGCTATGTAATCTGTAATCCATTGATGAAGGCGTTTCCCTTCCCAGCTATTTAATCTGTAATCCATTGTTGAAGGCGTTTCCCTTCACAGCTATGTAATCTGTAGTCCACTGTTGAAGGCGTTTCCCTTCCCAGCTATAATCTGTAATCCATTGTTGAAGGCGTTTCCCTTCCCAGCTATAATCTGTAATCCACTGTTGAAGTCGTTTCCCTTCCCAGCTATGTAATCTGTAATCCACTGTTGAAGGCGTTTCCTTTCCCAGCTATAATCTGGAAACCACTGTTGAAGGCATTTCCCTTCCCAGCTATAATCTGTAATGCATTGTTGAAGGCGTTTCCCTTCCCAAGTAAATCTGTTATCCACTATTGAAGGCGTTTTCCTTCCCAGCTATGTTATCTGTAATCCATTGTTGAAGGCGTTTCCCTTCACAGCTATGTAATCTGTAATCCACTGTTGAAGGCGTTTCCCTTCCCAGATATAATCTGTAATCCATTGTTGAAGGCGTTTCCCTTCCCAGCTATAATCTGTAATCCACTGTTGAAGGCCTTTCCTTTCCCAGCTATGTAATCTGTAATCCACTGTTGAAGGCGTTTCCTTTCCAAGCTATAATCTGTAATCCACTTTTGAAGGCGTTTCCCTTCCCAGCTATAATCTGTAATCCATTGTTGAAGGCGTTTCCCTTCCCAAGTATAATCTGTTATCCACTGTTGAAGGCGTTTCCCTTCCCAGCTATAACCTGTAATCCATTGTTGAAGGTGTTTCCCTTCACAGCTATGTAATCTGTAATCCACTGTTGAAGGCGTTTCCCTTCACAGCTATGTAATCTGTAATCCACTGGTGAAGGCGTTTCCCTTCCCAGCTATGTAATCTGTAATCCACTGTTGAAGGCGTTTCCCTTCCCAGCTATAATCTGTAATCCATTGTTGAAGGTGTTTCCCTTCACAGCTATGTAATTTGTAATCCACTGTTGAAGGCGTTTCCCTTCACAGCTATGTAATCTGTAATCCACTTTTGAAGGCTTTTCCCTTCCCAGCTATGTTATCTGTATCCATTGTTGAAGGTGTTTCCCTTCCAAGCTATAATCTGTAATCCACTGTTAAAGGCGTTTCCCTTCCCAGCTATGTAATCTGTAATCCACTGTTGAAGGCATTTCCCTTCCCAGCTATAATCTGTAATCCATTGTTGAAGGCGTTTCCCTTCCCAGCTATAATCTGTAATCCACTGTTGAAGGCGTTTCCCTTTGCAGCTATGTGATCTGTAATCCACTGTTGAAGGCGTTTCCCTTCCACTATTGGGCAGAGTATACGCCTGTAGTTGCGGATATTCATGGCCCCCAAAATGTTAGTATTTTCACCACTAGGCCTGGTCATCTAAGCGCTTGAGACTGCAGGGCATTTCCCCTCAGGATGGGGTCGAGTGGTTTGCTGTATTTACATAAGTAATGGGAATCCCCCAGCCCAAATGAATAAATCATTATTATTTGTATGTTTGCTGTTCTGTTGTGTGTCAGTATAAATGCGTATATATACTCACACGCAAAAGAAACGCAAGTCGAGTATGCAGTATACATGTTATTTATTTTCAACAGTAAAGACAAGAAATACTAATAGGGCAAGATTGACAAAATTTGACTGAAGACAGTTTAATGGATTAAAAGGCAGATGACATAATTGTTTTTTTCAAATGTTAAGGGCTTACGCAGTTTCGGGTCAATACCCAAAATGTCAGTCAATACCTAGTGTGACCACCATTAGCATTGATCACTGCCACACATCTCCAGTACATTGAGTGGATCAGACGATTTGTGAAGGCCCTAGGGATCCTCCTGCACACATCCAGAGCAGCTGTGAGTAGTTCATCGGGAGTTGTAGGGACTGGGCGCACATTGTGCAGATGCCTTTGAACCTAATCCCACAAGTGTTTGATGGGGTTCAGATCAGGGCTGAGGGCTGGCCACGGTAGAACACGGATGTTGCGTTGTTGCAGAAAGGCCATTGTAGCTTTGGCAACATGGGGACAAGCATTGTCCTGCTGGAAAATGTGTTGTTGATGTTGTGCAAAAAATGGATCACATCGGGTCTGATCACTTGGTCGATATACCGATATACCGCTGAGCAGTGACGCCGTGTCCCCGACCTGCCCATATCATGACGCTAGGTCCACCCCATGGATCCCTTTACACAACGTTTCTGTCAGCGAAACGATCACCTCGACGACGCCAAATTCTGACTCTTCCGTCTGCTTGGGAGACACAAAAGCGACTTTCATCAGAGAAGATGACACACCTCGACTCAGGATGACGCCAATTGTGATGACCCTGTGCCCACTGAAGTCGTGCTTGTCAATGCCATGGTTGGAGAACAGGACGACGTGCTGGTCAGCGACATCTGAGGTTGTTGGAACGGAGACGTCGGATCAGTGTCCCGGCTAATGTGTCGATTATGTGTTGCTATGGTCTGTCGAGCACTTTCACTTGCAGTTAGGAACGGATGTAGCTGGTGTTGACAGGTAATCTGCCGATCTTGTCGAGGTGTGGTGACCCTACGACGACCGCTCCGAGGAAGGTCATCTGTGGTTTGTGTAGCATTGTATCGATGCAGGAGGGGGTAAATTGTGGTTATGTTAACGTTGAAATGATGGGCTACATCGTGGACAGACTCTCCAGCTTCCAAACGTCCGATAGCCTGGTTTCTCTGAATTTGAGTTAGGCGTAGCATTGTTGACCAAAGAGTGGTAGGTCCAAGAATCGGCCATAGTTTTATACCCACTACAGTTCATGACAGTTCGTGCATTTTTGATTTCGCGAGAAATGGGTGCATGATACCCACATATTCATTGAAATGGTGCGTTTTGGCGATTCGTTTTCTATGTTGTGTGTTTTTACTCGGGGCTTCCGAAATGCAACCAAAAATATTGATAACACCATCAGGCTTCACACATCAATTTATGGTTCCGTGTTTGTTACCTATTTGCTTAAAACCACTTGCGTTTCTTTTGCGTGTGAGTATATATCAAATGTTAATAACATTCATAGTGGCAGGTCAAGGTACATTGTTCAAACTTAGTTACGTGTTTCATAGTTATGAATTTATCCTCTATCCTCAATATTTATGTAAAATGTAGTTGATTGTCGAAGTGGCTGTCTTTGTTTACATTGTCAACTGTTGCCTATATGCAGGTAAGCTATTGTGAGGTGGCACTAGTTTTGACGTCTACTCAAGTTATTTCTTGATCTTGTCTGACACATTGCTTTGTTTCTTTACCAAGGGCACTGCTGTCTCTGAAGGGAAATAGTAGATGACTTGCTTGTTTTGTGTGTTTCTATTTTTATTATGTGCATTTGTTTCATACAATAGGTTACCATACCCTAACTGTAGCATTGGTAAATGACAGATTTGAATATAGAAGTGATCCCGAGTAGATAAACCTGACAAAGAAAAAATCAAATTCTCATATTTTCTCGGGACCCTTCATCCAGAAAATGAAAGTAAAACATATATCTGGATAAGGGTCGTGAAGAAGGTCAATATGACTTATATTTCAGAATTGAATTGGATGGGTCTGCACCAAAGAATATTGTTCATATTTAATGCAAAACATTTGTATGTATGTTGCAATATGTAGCTTCCATGGGCTAATTTAAGTAACTTTTACGACAGATACCTCGCTACATTATCACTCTGCACGAACTCCTTGCCCATACACCCCATGAGCATGTTGAACGACGAAGCCTAGAGTTTGCAAAAGGCAAATTGGAAGAACTCTCTAGGGTGAGTATTCCATTTACTATTGATGTGACCATGAATAAGTAATATAATATTCTACTTTACTTTGAAGGATGTTTTATTCTGATTGGTTAGTCAGAGATTCGAAATAACAATTAAATGTCTCTGACTACAACAACTGATTTGATAGCTGTTAAATAATATACTTCTGAAGTTCACATTTACTTTTGTCTCTTATAGCCCTAACAGAATGGAAGTCTGTATCTAAAAAAAGAGAATCGCTAACCTTATCTACATATCAGACTCACAGAATTTTACATTTTAATCGTAAAAATGTGTGACAGAAATGTGCAAACCCGAATTCAGTAATCAGAAAGGTTGCGACAAGGAAAACAACACTCTTTGTGCACAAAGACAAGGCCTTTCTATTGTTAGATACCTATCTGCGGTTACCATTCCTAATAAGGATATCATTAGCCTATCATCAACTGATCAAGCTAATTGGAATAGGTTCAGTTATCTCCCAAAACGACTACATGTCAGAGGTCATACATAGCCAAAAATATGTGTTTACATATACTTGAAAAAGGTCAGCCCATGACGGGGATTAAGAGTAGGTCAACCAAGCCTGGTAAGACATTACAATGCATAATTGAACAGCTTCTTAATAAACCAGTTAAAATCAGATTTGTTTGACAACAACATCTAATTGTTTGATAAATGAGTATATATACTGATTTAAAAATGGAATTTGTGTTTAATGAGGAACAGATGAACAGAACTTTAATTATACTTCCTGGTATGTAATCTAGAGCAACTAATGTTTTTCTAGGTTAGTTAAATGAGTCATGTCAGACAAGCTTGCACTCGAAATGTGTGAGGTCGATCTGCGTGGGAAGACGTACCACTGTTGGTGATTTCGTCAGAAATGTCCGTGAACATTCTTTGGTGAAGCGTGTAGCCTGTCGTAAGTGATGATATTAACGATGTGCTATTAGTTGTATGACACTGAAAATTCACAATCATGTCTAGAGGCCAGAGAGAAGTTAAGGTGCTCAATGGGCCTTTTGAAGGACATAACCAGTTACTATTGATATTTCTTCTCTTGATGCTATCATTAGTCATCAGTAAGAGACCACCGTATTAACAACAATGTTGGCGGTTTTGCATTGATAACAATCCCCTGGCATTACTCTACATCTCACTGCATCTGGTCAATCTTTCTTGTGTGATAGTGATTCTGATAGATACATTACTCGTTCCTGTTCAAGAAAAGAATGAATACTGTCATGTGTCAGATGTTTTTATTACGGGCAGTCGTATTCATTATAAATTGCAGCAATTTAATAAGGCACGGCACCTTAGTGTTTGCAATTCAACCTCTGTCCCAGCACTTCACATGTTCGTAAACATCCCGGTATATAGTTTACACTTGTCATCATTTCCTCTGTAAATAACTATGTGGTTCTTGATGTTCGCGAAGGAGACATTAAACTGTGACAAATACTGGACTTTTGTGTGTGCACTGACTTGTATAACAGATGTATATCCACCCCGGTGCTACACCTGCAAAGCATGGATCCAAGTCCTGCCATGCCTCTGTTGTTTCTCATCGCTGCGATGACAAGCACAGGAGCACTGACTGCAGGAAGTATGTGAAGAGTGTCGACTGCTGTGGGAATCACATGGCCTCTTCTAAATCCTGCCTGTGTGGGAACGCGCGTCACAAATGTTGAAAATTAAACATGAGAAAAATATCTCCTCAACAAGCTGAGAATAATTATGCCAGTCGGACTGCAAACACTCCAGCAGGTAATTCGTACTTTGCTGCAGTCTCCCGATTTGTCAGTACTGCCTCTTTAATCTGCCAGACTGATCTGATATGGGTCAAATCTCTTTAACACACCTCAACTGCTTTACTAGAAAAAAACTGTGACACCATCTGTGAAACCTTCCAAACCAAATCTTAAAACTGTTGAGCGTCAGACACCAGAACTGGTACCTGAACTAGAATCTGACATTATTGAGACAAAAGCAGCAAAGAGAACAGCTGCAAAAACCACCACCAAAAGCCACCTCTCGTTTAGAGGTCCCCATAGAGGCTCATAACTCCTTTGGTCCTCAGCACATGGACTGCACGTGACACGAAAAGAAATAATACAAAGTCTTCCTCACATTCACGTGAAATATATCCTATGGGAGCACAATGACTCAACAAAACATAATACAAAGGAATTGTAGAGATCATAAGAAAAATTTAAGTGAAATACAGCTATTGGTTCAAGATTTGAAACCGTCTCTTTTTCGTCTCCAAGAAATGTACCCAAAAAACACTAATCAATTATACATCCGTCAGTTTAGTTCTTACCATTCATTCTGATAAAGCTGCAGGAGGTTCTTCTGTGTTGGTGAGGCGGGCATAACCCATAGCCCCGTTCAGTTTCAACACTAATCTTCAAACTGTTGCTGCCCGTGTAACTTGGAACATAGTGTTTACATCATGTTTACTATCTTCCTTCAACTATCCGCCAATCAGATCTTCAGACTTGGTATGATCAACTCCCTAAATCCTAGATAATCATGGGTGATTTAAACAGTCTCAGTCCCCTTTGGAGGAGTACTGATACAAATAATAAGGTCAAGGTCTTTGAAAATTTGATAAACAATGAATTATGATGGATCTGGTACTTATCTGCATCGTGCCACCCCTCCCTTGTTCTTTCACTTACCGTGATGTGACCCGGGAAAAAAGTGTAACCAGCTGATGCTCGCAGTTTTCACTGCAACGCATAACCACCGCGCCGCCGTGATGTGACTGAAATGCTGTTGAAAGCGGTGTTAAACCCCAATTCACTCACTCTCTCTTACCGTATTTTCTTGAGTATAGTGCGCACTTTTTTTCGAAAAAACACAGCTGTGTAGAAGGGGGTGCGCATTATACACGAATTATGAGTTTGGATGTTTTTTCCCCCCATGGAAAGACATTACCATGAGCACGAAACACCATGTCAACAAATCCATACTGAAGTACGCAAAATACTTATGTAATTACACTGTCTGGCTATAAAAAGTGTTCTTTTTATATCTGGACTTATGTTTGTAACTTATTTCATCGATTTTATTCAAAATTCCTTCTAATATTGTTTTTATTAATTTCGGCGAAATCGTGTGTGAAGCGATCGGAAGATCGCACAACTCACCGTTATTAGCAGCAACCACGGTCAGAATACCGCTATTGACGCCTTGAAACAAACTTTAGTTGACAGAGAATGGATACATATATCATAAATGACATACTTTGCCTCGTTAAAAGTCATATTTGTTTTTGTTTGACGATTCTATGTCAACATGAAATTCTCGCGATCACGTGATCACGTGCGCGTGAGCCTTGACGGTGACTGGTCAGACATGTTCCATGTAAAAAATAATACCCGGGAATAGCGATCAGCTGCTTCGCTTAGGGTTATTATTATTTTAAATATGTTTAGTAAAGGTTGCATATAATTAAGAAAATAATGGAATATATTATTCCTGATAAATAAAATAGTTTCAGATACAATTGTTGCCGATCCTTGCATTAAAAATCTTATAAAGTTATATCATTGGGTGTGTCTTGACCGAATCACCGGTCGATTCCAAGAAAATGTGTGTACAGCTGATTGCTGTTTCCAGCTTAGTTTACGAGAAAATACGCAAGGTAATCTTAATCCCTAGATATAAAACAATGCCTAGCAGAACAATAAATACTATTTAAACGGTAAATAAACATGTCTGGTGATTTTTTATCTCAAATTTCGAATTTGTACTGACGAAGTTTCTCAGCACCCGTTCGTTTGCCGGACTTCGCTGAAAGGGTACGGTGTAAAAAATTTCTGCGCATAATATTCAAATTTCTTTTTTTTCCAAAATATTGAACCCGCTAGAGGGGGGTGCGCATTATACATGGGTGCGCACTATACTCAAGAAAATACGGTAGTTAATTACGGGGGATGGGAGCCAATACAGACCAATTGTCAGTTTTATTGCAAGGTAGTCATATTATGCCTTTAAGAAACTTTCAATTTAGATTAAATCTATGTGTATACATAAATTAATGACAAGGAGAGAGGGAGAGAGGGAGAGGGAGAGCGAGTGTGAGTGTGAGTGTGAGTGTGAGTGAGAGTGAGAGTGAGAGTGAGATTTAAAGAGAGGGAGTCTAAGGTCATGTTTCAAATCTGTTATCCCTATGAAATGAAACGTTTGCCTACACCTGTCACTCAACAACCTGGCCACCAACGGTTGTCTATCTTTGCAAACCTCGAGTATTGGAGAGGTAACTCATTTATACCATGTCTTCTCACTGTGACGTCACACAATAATGACGTCGCAAACTAAATGTTTCGGGATTTTATCAGTTTGCAGTACACAGCCAAATTATGATAATGTCGGGCAAGCGGGCAGTAGAAATTAGCAATGAAACGCATCTCCATCTCTATATCTACATGTGTAATTACACTGCCTGCTTCCTCGGCCAGCAGCCACCATATAAATGGAATACTGTTAAAAGCGATGTTTAACCAAATTCTTCACTCCTCGGTCAGCTACAACAGAATTCATGATACCACTTGGATCTGCTAAAAATTGATGCAGTTTTGATAGATAACTGATGCTGAAGGCGTATAGGATCAACCGAGCTAGTTGAACTTGTAATCATGGGCATACAATGATGTGTCGCCATACAATCAAGGTCTGTCTAGGCACACCTCTCGTATATATATGGGATAAGTATACCAATTTTCAGTGTCAGTCATTGCGTTCCAAGTAAAGTACATCTTTACGTCATTGTATGGAGATAAACGTACTTTGTTTTCAGTTTAGAGAAAGATTATCGTCATTTAATACCTCCAAATGTTCCATTTAAAACTTCACGCTAAAGCGTTTGGTTTAAGATTAAATTTAGTACGTTCATCTCCTAAACAGTTGCATATGGGCGGCCGGTGTTGGTACGTGCATGGGCTGGAATCGAGGGGAAAAGTTGATACTATGGGTACAATCGCCTCGTTTCA